TCGGTGAAGGCAGCAATATGATTGCAAGTCAGCCTTCTTCACAGGCTCGTACTACAGCTCTCTTACCCAAAATCATGTAAAATAATGATGATTATGTGATGACCAAAGTTTGACCTCTGGTATCATCTCTGCTATTATCATTATCATCATCACCCAGTGCTGATGATGGTAAGGAGCAGAACCTGTACCAAATATTAGTTCGAATGCAAAAACATCGATTCAATCTACACGATGGGAGCAATTCGAGCATAGAAAACCTAAGGTAACTCTTACTGACACGTGCTATTCAGTGGCACTAGACAGGTTCCTTCTCACCATTGTTATATGCCTATTAAATCAGACCGAAGAAGTCAACCTCGACCGATCGCACTAACACTTCATAGCATAGAAATGTTGTACAAGAACGACACTCATACCTTGACAGCACAGAGGAACTCCTGAGCTCTTTCCGAGCCAAATGAGGGAGCTGCAACACATGCGTAAATTAGTGGACATGGACCATCCAAGGATACGTTGTAATGAAGAATGAATCTGGAAAAAAATCAGTAGGGGAAATTTAATGGTGAAAAAAAGATAGTTAAGAATGGGCGATGAAAAACACAGTTTTCACGAACCCTTCCAGTTCAATATCTCCATGATTGTTGAAGTAATCGCGAACACGCTTCTCTATGATTTTCGTCACCTGAACAAAGCCAATGTATAGCATAAAACCCAGCTTGTCTCGAGTTCTTTCACAACTAGGATAACTGTCGTTTCAATTACAAGACTTTTAATCTTAGATTAAGATGTATAGTGTAGAGTTGATTTCCTAGAAACGTCAGTTGTTCCAATGACGTATCCATAACTCTTGAACTGGCTTGAAATCTAAGCTGACACAAGAAAAAAAAAATGACGGCTCAACTTACCGAATACTCCGAAGGAATAAGTGGATCCTGCGATGACTGTGGAACATCTAGTTCACATCCTCCAATCACGATGACTCCTCCAGAGACTGACGGTTTACATAGTAGGGCTCTTACAATAGGTGTTGGGCCCGCCAGACTGCAAAAATTTTTTAGATCAGTGGGCCCTCTGCCATAATCCGATAGGAAACTTATTTTTCAACGAAAAGCGACCAGGGTTTAGACCACAACAGGAGCCCGTTTTCTCAACATGATATGG